AAAAATAGAACCATGTTAGAAAATATATAATAAATCTATACAAAATGAGAATAGTCGGATGCGATGATGACAGCTTTTTCATTCATGGCTATATTCAAAATTCCTCCATTAAATGAAAGCAAGCATCATTTACGATTGTTGTATTTTGTAAAGAATCCTAATATTGTATCATCATTTTATTTATTATAAATTTATTAGAAGGCGGAACATACTTGTAATATTCCCTTTGTGGTATTATTTTTTTTATCATGGTCACGATGCTTTATATATATATATATATATATAATATATATATATATATATATATATATATATATATATATATATATATATATATATATATATATATATATATATATATGATTTACAGCTTAAGATTTTTCTTATTTTTCTTCTATTTTTCTACCGTAGCAACAAAAATTATGATTTATGTTGAAGAGGTGAAAGTTGATTACACGATCGATGTATTATTCAATTTTCTTTTATGCTTAACAGCTAAAGTTTTTTTTTTTTTTTTTTTTTTTTTTGTAGCAACAAAAATTATGACTTATATTTAAGAGGTTAAAGTTGATTACCCCATCATCAAGCTATTAGGGATTCACTACAAACAAGATCTTGCGAGCAAATTTGAAGACTAGTTCATTTTGATCGGATTTTCCGATCTCGATCAAATCTTAAGATTATGATCTTAAGAAATGAAAAAAATGTAAGATCCTAATTTTTACAACCTTGAATGAATGAATATGGTATGAATCTTTTTATGATTTGTAATAGTTGATTTGTTTTTTTTTTCAAAATTTCAAAAGCTTTTTTATCCTCATTTATTTTGCTTTGTAATTTTATGTTTGTAGCTTTAGATTTTCTTTTTCTTTTTATTTGTGTTTGTGTATTTAAGTTTATACAAAATTGCAAAAATAGTCCATGTGGTATGGCAAAACTAAAATGTTTGGACAAAAAAAGTTTGGACTCGCATCAGTGGCCCAATAGTTTGATTCTGTTGCGAGTTTGGTCCAAGGTGTTGTATATTTTTTTATAATGATAGATTTGCCCTTGATATTTTTCTTTCAATCATTTTATTACAGAAATAAAAAAAGTAAAAGAAAAAAAAAGAAAAGACATCTCTCTCTCTCTCTCTCTCTCTCTCTCTTTGTCATAATGTTTCTCCATACCATCTGATAAACCTAACAACCACCGGCGGAGATGACAACAGAGGAGCTCCACCTTTGATATGATTCCTACACCACCGTCCACCACCGTCGCCTCTGATCTGATTACTACACAACCATCCTCTATCTCTTGCTTCGTAAATCACCAGATATGTTTCGAAACCCTTGCATCGCCACCCTTCTCATTGGTTTCTTTTATAAACGTCAATGGCGATGAAGGGGTATGAAGGCAACGCTAGGGTTTGATTCCTGTGAAGAAAGATAATTATGGATCCGGAAACGCAAAGAACGGAAACAACATGTTTGTTATAGGTCTAGAAAGACAATTTTGATGTCGGAGAAGATGAATTGAGAATGGTAGAGCGTGATTTCGACATCTGTCAACAAGAAGGGTGGTGGCAGATCTAAGGTTTTTGTAAATCTTAAACAATTCAAATGGTTGTTCTTGTGGGTTAACAAATTTGATTGTTATTCTTTAGTGTGGTTTACAACTCTATATTCATGTCAATTTATGGATTATATTTATGAGAAGGCTAGGTTTTACAAATCTGGTAATTAGTTCTTGTGATTTTACAAATCTTGTAATCGGGTGTTCTTGTAGGTAAACAAATCTAATTGTTATTCTTGCTTTAGAAATCTAATTGTTCATGTGTAAGTTTTGATCTTCATATGTTTAAGAAAAAAACTGAGATTGGTTGTTGTATGTGTATGTTTGCATTGAAGTTGGTTCAAATTTCCTCTGGTTCCCATATCTTCATCTTGTCTATCTTGAGTTTAGGTTGTAGATATGGAAAATTTTGTTTGAGTACATCAGATGGTAGTTACCCGTGGTGATTAGTCGTGGTGGTGTGATTTCGTTAACCTGTGGTGGACTGGTGGTTGTAACATCCTGATATAAAGGTACTTCCAATGTTGACTCTATGTTTAAATAATACTGCATCTTGGCCCTTGGGATTGAAAAAAAAAATGCAAAATAGCCCATAGTGGCAATATGGTAATTTTGGCTATTTGTGATGTGCACTGAGCGTACATTGTGTACGCTAGGCATACTAGGGCGCACCTAGTACGCTGTCCGTATACATCGTACGTGCGGCGTACATGAGGATCATGCAAACCCTAATTTTTAGGGTTTAGTTCATATTTAAACCTCATTATAGCCTCAAATCTCATTCTTATTCAGCCTTCCTCTGTGAGAATCGACCCCTAAGCAAACCCTAAGTGAAAGAGTGCATTTTTATAGCCTTTAGAGTGTTAGAAGTGTTCTTGAAGAAGAAATGAGTGGTGGAAAGAGCTTGGAGTTTGGGAAACACCTTGGATCTGAGATTTCCTCCTTGTTAGCAAGCTCTAGAAGGTAAAAAATTTGCATCTTGATGACTCCATCTTGTAGATCTAGACATTTCATTTTTTTTAAAGTCACTTTTGTCCCCAAATGGTGATTCTTGAGCATGACATATTCTTGAGCCATTAAGCCGTCCTTTCAAACCTTGGGATGGGTCTTGAGTAATAAAAAAGTGGTCTTGATGGTTGGTATTGCTTCATGAATTCTTTAGAAGGTATTAATGCATATAGATATTGAGTTAAGCACTTAATGGACGTCAAAAGTCATAAAGTTGGAAACTTTAGGACTCCTAGCAGTTTTTGGCCTTGGATCTGAAAGATGGACATAAGGGCTTATCACATTAAGCTCTTAATGAAGATTTGGGAAGTCTAGGCATACGTCCTACATAACCTGGAGTACGCAGCACGTACATGGTCAACCATCCTAACTGCGGTTAAACTTGAGTACCCCCAGCGTACCTTTGGATTACGCCCCTGTGTACGCGTTATGCGTCAACTCGGTTGAGTTGACTGGGCTGGGTTGACTCGACTGATTTGACTCAGTTAACTTGTTAGTTTTGACAAAGTTAACCAATGGTAATTTAGGAAATTGTGATTATTTTACTAATGGGAAATGTTTAGATATTTAGGACTTGGGTGGAGCCTGTATTCGGGGTCAGAGTATTGATTAGTTTTGTTCATCAAGCTGTGAGGTAAGTCTTCCTCACTGTGCTTACGGATCAAGGGCACCAAGGTCGACCCGGTGAATTGTATATCCTATTACATGATAGTATATTATTATGCTGTAGAGATATGTTAGTATATAGGATGCAGCAGCGATCTGCAAATCTGCTTGTTTATCTGATTCCTGGTTATATGTTTATATGTTACTTGTATGTTGACATGTTATGGTTGGTTGAGTTAAGGCGATCTTGCTTTGTGGTGAAGGACAAGACACCCAGGGCAGTCTGGATAAACTGTAGGCCTGCGAGGCGGTCCAGTTAGGCCGAAGGCCCGACGAGCGGTTCGAATAGGCTGTAGGCCTTGTGAGGTGGTCCAGTCATGGAGAAGGCTCGGGAACGGTCCAGATAGGTTTTAGGCTCTATGAGGTGGTCGGTCAGGCTGAAGCAGTGGCGGAGCTAGATGAGGTGTTGGGGGTACTACAACATCCCCAAAAAATTGTTTATGTATATAAAAAAAATATTTCTAAACATGTTATATGTTATTGTACCCCCAACTAAAGATGTTGTACCATGGTTTTTAATGTCTGAGATATGATAACTACATAGAATATATATTGATAACGTTTGGACCCCCATATCAAAATTTCGGGCTCCGCCACTGGGTTGAAGGCTCGGTTATGCATGTTGTTGTTTGATATGTTGTGCATGGTGATACTGTAGGGGGAAGCACTATGCTTTGGCTTACGGTTTTAGTTTATTGTTTCAGGTATTTCTGATGATCACGTGGAGGCGAAGACTAAACCCTACACATCCTCCGTTTTATGGCTTTATGATTTTGGGATACTCTAATGTTGATAAACAATTTGGTAACAGTGATTTTGTAAACACTTGATAAATGTGGGTTGTTTTTAAAAGTTTAAATTTGTTGTGATTTTTGAGTCGTTACAGTGGTGGTGGTGATGGTCTGTTTAAGTAATCGTTTTAAGAGAGAGAGAGAGAGAGAGAGAGATGGGTATTTTTTTTTTTGATTTCTATAAAAAAATAATTGAAAAGGGGAAAATATCAAGAGCAGATCCGTTATCATAAAAAAGTATAAAACACTTTGAACCAAACTCGCAACAAAATCAAAATATTGGATAACTGATGCAAGTCCAAACTTTTTTGACCCAAGCATTTTATTTTTGACATACCACACAAACCATTCTTGAAATTTTATCTTAAGTTTATTAAAATTCGAACAAAAAAAAAGGTTTAACAATTTAAGTTGCTGTTGTCTGAGGTTGAAAATCAGGAAGTCAAACTAGGGATGAGCAAAATGACCGAACCAGCCGGAACCGGCCCGAACCGGACCCGGCTCGGGAACCAACTTCGGCCAAAATCAATAACCGAACCGGCCCGACGGTTCTACCGGTTCCCGGTTCCTACCGGTTCTTGTCATGTCTTCAAATGTTGGAACCGGTCCTTGAAAAATAACATCATATGGTTCCGATTTTTGCCGGTTCCCGGTTCCAAAAATCCACAAAAATAATATCACGGTCCCGACCCGACCGGTTCCATCGGGTTCCGGTTCCGGTACCGGTTCCGACCGGTTCCCCGGTCTTATTGTGTAGTACACATGATAGGAGATTAAGAGTTATCCAACAATTCACACTTGTTATTAAATTCACGATCAAATCAAAAGGATATAAAGTTAACTTTTCTTCCGAAAATATGCATCATGTGAAAGTTTTGGACTAAACATGTACACTAGCAATGGATCGTCTATAAAATCTATGGTTTCTTGTTTATGTTATTAGTTGAAACTTGTAAACTAGTTATCAAAGTTTAAAGATCAATGGTGGTTTCTACTCAAGAGATTGCAACAAGCGTATCTAAACCATGGCTTGACCTTAGAGGCAAGATTGTGATGGTTACCGGTGCATCCTCTGGTATTGGCCGGGAGTTGTGTATCGACTTAGCCAAAGCTGGTTGCAAGATCATTGCTGCTGCACGTCGAACTAACAAACTCAAGGCTCTATGCCATGAAATTAACAACATGGAAATCTCTAATATTCATGCAAACGAAGGTGAAGCCATTATGCATGATGTCTTAGCGGTGGCACTTGAGCTTGATATCAGTGCCAAAGGTCCTGGCATCGAAGCCGTTGTGCAAAAGGCTTGGGCGGCTTTTGGCTGCATCCATGCTTTGATCAACAATGCCGGTTTTAGAGGTAACTTCAAATTCTTTTTATTCTTTTCTCTTTGTGTCGGGTTAAATTTTTGTATATCTCTTCGTAATTTATGTTTAAGCAAGACTAATTTTTGATCCCACGGGCAATGATAGTCGTCCTTTTATCAAATATCAATGGTGATTATTGAAGAGTTTAGATTTAGATACAAAAGTTTTTTTATTTGAAACGGAGTTTGAATACAAAATTTAGTTTGAAATATTAAGTTATAAAGAAAGTTTGAGTTTTCGTTTGCAATTTATATGGAGTTATAAATTCTTTATATAAACGTATCTATTATTGAATAGCTAAATATGTGGTAAAATTTGGCATTATCCTTGATGAGTTTGAAAACGTTGAATCTAATCTAAATATATAAAATTATTTATAAGTCGATCCTCCCTAATCCCTATATATCATCTATTAGTAATTAGTAATAAAGTTTCCATAAAAAAAAACTTTTTTCGTTCTTTTGATTCTTTCGACGACATGTACATACCATATACAATTGGAAAATACATGCCCTTGTGTTAATCAATGTTTGGCATATATTTATCATAAAATAACGATTTGGTTCATTTTATATTTAATCTAATCTTATAACAACTAAGGACAAACTTAAATTGTTTGATGTATATATTTACAAAAACTTACAATAACTTTAAAAGTAAACGTATCACCATAATAAATATATAGGAAGATGTTAAATCACTTAAAAGTCTCAAATTCATCAAAGTAAAATACCATCATATATTTACTTATATTAGAATATTGTAAACGAAATATAAAAAAAAAAAAAAATTGAAAGATATTAAATACTAGGTATAAGACCCATGTATTACATGTGTTAATTAAAAAAACTAAATATAAATGTTTAAATATTTAAGAACTTTGAATTCATAAGAAAATAAGAAAAATAATGAATTATTAAAATTAATTTTTTTATTTTTTAAATTTAAATAAATAAACAAAATAAATTAATAAGCTTTAATTTTGTTATTTTGAAATAAAAAGGTAAGTCCATTAATGAAACTGATAATCATTTATTACTACATTTATTGTAATTATTACACTAAAGTTTTATGTGGAATTTGTTAAAATAGAAAAACCATAAAATGATATGTGGAAAAGAAATTAACTCAAAATAACCACAAATTGACATTTGACAAATTGAATGAAAGTGATATGTGGCAAAAAAAACGTTCATTTATTAGAATAGATCTAAGTATTTATGCATATAATAAAACATTTGTACTATAGATATTACTAGTAATTGAGTATGTGTTTTATGGCAAGTTTTTACGTGTTTTTGTTGCGTATTCGGAAAGTAGATGAGGGAATATATCATTTTATAAAATAAAGGAGTTGCAAGTTACGGATTATACTAAGTTGAAGAAGAAATATGAATGAGTGAAAGTGATATTTTAGAAAGTTGAAGGTGGAGGAGATGAATGTGGTATTTTAAAAAGTAAAAGAATAGAAAATAGTCTTTTAACAAAAAGAAGGGTTGCAAGTAACGGATTATACAAAGTTAAGGGATTAAAGTTGCACTTTACGCATTGACATACTTATACATTTGCATTAACAATTGTAGTGTTAGCTATATTGATTTTTACTGTTGAGATGATGAAAATAACATTCTAGAAAAGAGAGTGGTGGAAAATGCATTTTACAAAGTAGGGGGGGGGGGGGGGGAGGAGAGAGAAATCGTATTTATATATACTACGGGATAAGCATGAAAGTTCAAAAAACGAAGGGGTAAAAGTGATATTTTACAAAGTTGAAGGTGAAGTTGTGAAAGTAATTTTTTTTAAAGTAAAAGGATGAAAAATATCAGTTTAGAAAATAAAGACGTTGAAAGTGATAGGTTATACAAAATTGAGGAATTAGAGTTGCACTTTAAGCATTGATATGTTTGTATATTTTGCATTACCACTTGTACTATTAAGAGGATGGGAGACGCACAAAAGTTTAGAAAATGAAATTGTGAAAGTAACATTTTACAAAGTTGAAGATGAAGGGGGTGAAAATAATATTTTAAAAGATAAAATGATGGAAAATATCATTTTACAAAATAAAGGGGTTGCTAGTGACATGTTATATGATATAAGGTTTATGAGTGACAGATTATACAAAGTTGAGAGTTAAATTTGAAATGTATGTATTAAACACTTGTACATTATGCATAAAGTCATATACTTTTACCAAGTATATGTAACTCACATAAAATAATTTGATTTTTGTGTATATTTATAATGTATTTTCTAACAAAATAGCAAAATTATCTTTCTGTGTTCAATTATATCAAAATAAATCCATAGTTAATTTTTAATGTCTCATATATCATATACAACTGACAAACATATGCTCTTAGTGTTAACAATGTTTGACCTATATTTATCACTAGACGTATTTCTGCGTGTTGCATAATAAAACAAATATATAGTTTAAATATGTTGAAATTTATAATTTTATCTATGGGGTTTGGTCATTTTTTTTATATAGGCCTATTAAAATTGAAACCTACGACCCTAGAATATTGTAACCGATTCTGGAACATGCTATGTCGGTTTTTATATTCCAAAACTGCTCCTAAAATTATAGGTATTGGGTTTCTAATTTTTTATTACGAATAAATTGATTGATTTATGAAAAAATAATTAACCATATAAATTTTTGATAACATAAATACAATGAATTATTGGAAAAGTTAAAATTATAAATAAAAGATGTTTATAATTGATGTTAAAAGATTTTGTCATTGATTCAAACTATACTAATAATAATTATAAAACTCAAAATGAGTTTTAACCCTCATGTGTTATTAGAAAACATAAGTTATAAAATAATTAAACGATTCGTATTTTATGAGAGTCTCGTGCCATTGTGCTTTTCATTAGCATAACATAAAATTAGATGTGCAAATTGCAATGGCTAAATCTTATTTCACTTTTAATTACCTTACAGTTAAATCATAAATGTCTCATTTAAAAAGATCATGAATGATTAAATGATTTGTAATAAAATAATAGCATGCAATGATATATCAATAACTCAAATTTACCATTTTTATGGAATATATAACAAAATCAATTTTAATAAGTTTTATCAACTACATAATTGTCATCTACAGAACCATTTCCATGTAAGCAATTGTGAATATCCAACACAACATGAAGACCTATAAAATTAAACGCCGACATCCACTCCATTACATCATTCTAAAAATTACACCCAATGAATCTTTTTAAAAATCTAGTTTTACAATTTGAAGTTGAATGAATATTAACATGCATCATCTTGCAAACTTCATTATAATTCATACGACTTGGACTATTGGGTTAAGACTTTAGACGGTTAGTTGTATAACTTCCTTTTGGGACCCCTTTTGAATATTATTATATCTTTCATGAAAAGAAAATGCAAAACTTTAAAATAAATTGAACTACCAAAATTTTAAAATCAAGAAGCATGAAACACGCTAGTTGTATTCATTCTTGTTTTGTATTGTTGTGAAGTGGTATTATTGCTTGTGTGAATCTAGAGGCAATGATTAGAGCATCTTCATATATAATATTTTTCATTTCAATCAAAATCATAATTATATAGTATAAATTTGGATAATAAGAAAGAATAAAATGAAGCAATGTTTCTTACCATAAACTTCCATATTTCCTTCTCATCGTCATCTTCCTCTTTATTATTATTTATGCTCTCTATCTCTTCCTCTTTATTATTATTTATACTCTCTAACGACAATTTTTTTGTATGGAGTTTCAAATTTACCTCTCAACCACTCACATAACTCTTTAAACCATTCTAATAAAAATCTACCATTGTGAGCTATATATATTAATGTTAATCAATTGGTATCATAAGAACCATTAAGTATCAGAAGTTAAAAAAAAAAAAACTATTGAGTGGTAGTTGTTAATTAGATACTAATAAAAAGTTATGTAGGTTTAAATAGATATTACAGAATCATTATTATAAAGAAATATGAAAAAACATGAAAGTTTCAAATGATTGCTGTTATAGAAAAAATATCTCCTTTATAAATATAGTATGATAAAATAAAATATATTGTTCATCTGAAACTTTAATCTAATCTTATAATAACGATGAAAAAACTTGCATCGTTTAACTAATATATATACAAAAACATTCAATTTAAAAAGATAAATTTCATATCACTTAAAAATCTCAAATTTACCTAACTAAAATGATATCATATATTTATTTACATTATAATTTTGTAAATAAAGTTTAAGAAAAAAAGCAATTTAAAATACATAAAATATATATGTATTTATTCGTATAATAAAGCATTTGTACAATCACATATAGCTTTTGATAATATATATATATTAGGGATGAGCATATGGACCGGGGAACCGGCCGGAACCGGTACCGGAACCGGAACCGGCATCGGAACCGGAACCCGATGGAACCGGTCGGGCCGGGACCGGAACATTATTTTTGTGGATTTTTGGAACCGGGAACCGGTAGGAACCGGAACCGATATAACCGGAACCGGCAAAAACCGGTAGAACCGGCAAAAACCGGAACCGTATGATGCTATTTTTCAAGGATCGGTTCCAACATTTGAAGACACGACAAGAACCGGTAGGAACCGGGAACCGGTGGAACCGGAACCGGTAGAACCGCCGGGCCGGTTCGGTTTTTAATTTTGGCCGAAGCCGGTTCCCGGTTCCGGTCCGGTTCGGGCCGGTTCCGACCGGTTCGGTTCTTTTGCTCATCCCTAATATATATATATATATATATATATATATATATATATATATATATATATATATATATATATATATATATATATATATATATATATGGGTTTAGGTCATTTTTGATCACTTAACTTTTGATTTTTTTCTCATTTGATCACTTAATTATTTTTAAGTTTTAAAAGGTTATCAAACTTTTGATTTTGTACTCATTTAGTCAATTAAGTTTTGATTTAGTCACATTTAGTCACCCAACTTTTAGAATTGTGCTCATTTAGTCACCTAACTTTTAAAATATTGCTCATTTAGTCATTAAACTTTTAAAAAATTTAAGAGTTTAATGACTAAATGAACACAATTTTAAAAGTTTGGTGACTAATTGTGAGCAAAACAAAAGTTAAG